ACGACCGAGGACTACTCCACAGCGCTCCCCGGGCGGATGGTCGAGCAGGGCGCGAACGAGGAAGCGATCACGACGGTGCTCATGACGGTGGTTGGGGAGCCGGGCGTAGGAGCGATGACGACGGTGTCGCCTGGAGTGGCTGGTCCTACCTCAATGGTGGTGGGTTCGATGCCGGTGGCGCGAGGCCAACAGGCCACCAGACAGGAGGCAGGGCCTCCGAAAAGCTGACGATCCCGTCCTTCACCGGGATGATGTCGACGACATAGGCGGGTCCGCCCGTTCGTACCTACGTCAGGTGGAGGCCTGGCGCAGGATGACATACTTGCCTGTCTCGCAACAAGGACTCGTCCTCTACCAGAACCTCGGAGGCAAAGCATGGGTGGCAGCAGAAGAGCTGTCACTCCCCAGGCTGGCCTCTAACGATGGCGTGAACTATCTGGTCTCCTGGATAAATGCTCGCTTCTTGGATCTGGAGGTCGCTCGCATTGGTCGCGCGTTCAGTGACTTCTTCAGACGATTGAGGCGTAAGCAGGGCCAGATTATCCGCGAGTACAACACCGAGTACGACAGGCTTTACGCCAGACTGAGAGAGGTCGGTTGCTCCCTTCCTGAAGAGTGCGCGGCTTGGTTATATTTGGACAGGCTCTCCCTTGACGAGCCCCAAGAGCTCAACCTCCTGGCGTCGGTCGGCAATTCCTACAGTCTTCATCGCCTTCAACAAGCTGCTGTTCTTCACGATCGTGGGCAGAGAAAGCCATGGGAAAGCAACCGCAGCAACAGAAGGCCACACACCGCCCATGTGACCGATGCGGGCGACGAGTTGTCCGATGAAGAGGGGTCGGACTTGGAGGATGGTGTGCCGGAAGACGTGGCCGTTGCCTACGCGACTTACCAGAGCGCAAAGGAACGTTACAAGGAACAAGCAAGGTCTCGCGGCTACCAAGGCGACCGTGGCGGGGACAAGCAGAAGGCGAAGCCTGCCGACCCTGGGCGAGATGAGAAGATCAGGCTCATGAAGAGCAAGTCTTACTGCAACAGTTGCGGGAAGAAGGGACATTGGCATAAAGACCCAGAGTGTCCGAACAATGTTCACCAGGTTCGCGATGTTGAAGTTTGCCACCATGTGCCTGCTGAAGTCTTCAGTCTTCGCCACGACGGGGAAAGCCTGGTTGGGATCACGGACACCGCGTGCGCAAAGTCCGTTGCGGGCACCGGCTGGCTCCAGAGCTACAGCAACCAGATCGCGGCCGTCTTCCAGAAGCCCGAGCTGATCAAGGAGGCCGAGGCGTTTCGCTTCGGGACTGGGCGAGTGCATCACTCGTCTTTCCATGTGATCCTCTACTTCCGCTTAGGAGGGAAGGTGATCGAGATGAAGACTTCGATCATCAACGGCGATGTGCCCCTTTTGTTGTCAAAATCTGCACTGGCTCAACTTGGCATGGTGTACGATGTTGCAGCTAACCGCGCAGACTTTGGTGCCGTAGGCCTAAAGGGGTTTGACCTGATCACCACTTCTTCTGGGCATCCGGCGATACCAATCGTCCCAGCAAGGCCAGGAGATGGAGCGATGCGTCTTGTTGTTCGCGACCCGGGAGCCTCGAGCAGCGAGCAATACATGGCTTATGCAGTGTCTTCGGCTAGTCTTTTACCCAGACCCCCGCAGGCTCCTACATCATCTACTACCAGGTTGAACAATGGGGATTCCGGTCAATGCAGTAGTCAGGGCTCTCACTACAAAATCTTCTACGACAAGAAGCTTAGTCCCCAAGCCAAGGAACTTCTCAGTCAAGACCGTTTGCATCAGCAGTCCTTCGTGTCATGGTGGGAACAAACCAATGTGACTTCGGATTTCTGGTTGGAGGGTGAAGCAGCTTGGTACAGGATTCACATCACCCCCCGAAGAGCCCTTTGCAATCCTTCGACTTGGAAAACCCGTTCTACGGTCCGGAAAGACATGCTCTTGAGTTCGATTGGAGACTTCCGTGTCACAGAGGGTTTTTGCTGTAGGAGTGGAAAGCCGCTTGAAGTTGCAGTTGACCGCTGGAGAGATGGAGCATCGGAGTCTTCGTTTCCTTTGCTGTGGATTGGCCGGAGCACTTTCGCTAAGGCAAGCTCTAGCGCCCCCGGCCGTTCCGTCCTCTGCCCACCAGGACATGTCGACCCCATCATGCAAGCCACCAGCGATCAGCTCAATGTCGAAGACCCAGCTCCTCGAGGAGTGCAACCGCGTGGGGCTTGTGGTCCACCGGACCTGGGCAGTCGAAGAGCTGAAGGCAGTGATCCAGGAGCACCGAATGGAGACGGCAGCACAGACGCCCGCTCACCAGATGAAGTCGGTGACCTCGCTCACCTTGCCGGAGATGAAGGCCAAGGCCACTGCGATGGGCATCGACTTCCCCACCAACATCACGAAAGGGAACCTGCTCAGGCTGATCAGGGACAGCCTCGCTACGCCAGGGTCGGAGCTGATGAAGATCGGCAGGTACCGCGGGTACGAGTTCCAGGAGATCCCGATGGCCTACGGCGAGTGGGCATCCAAGGAGGTGAAGACGAGTGGGAATCCTCACGCGGAGCTGGTGAGGTTCGCGAACTGGTGGGACAATCAGCGGAGCATGCGCTATACCGAGAACACGGCCATCGAGCGGAATGCAGCGGTGCCCTTCCCGGATTCGGAGACGGACACCGGTTCGGCATGGGGACTGGTCAGCGACTGGGGGGCCCCCAAGACACCACCCAGAGCCAAAGCCCAGGCGATGAGCGCGAGCTCCGACGGATACCCTATGGTGCCGAGACCCAACAAGAGAGGAAGTGGATGGAACCAAGGCGGGGAGATGGACGCGGAAGTGGATGCGGGGAGCGCAAGGGCGACAATGCCCCCAACATGGACTATGAGCACGAGGGCGGCCACTTTGGAAATAAGACCTTTGTGCAGAGATCAGGATGCTGCGGCCGAGACGCTACAGTGGGCGAGCACGAAGGCTTCATCACCGCGGCAGAGTTTTCCCTCGCCCTGGAGCACAAGGCCACCAACTACGCTTGCACCACCGCGACACCTCGAGCCCAACGAGAAGACCCCTTCCAGCAGGCACTACATGATCAAGACTTCACCTACGACCGTCTCAAAGGGCTTTTGAATGGTGCTGGGTTAAAAGAGGTCAAAACCGAACGCGGCAACACCCTCGGTGGCACAGGCACAATGGCGAACTACCACACAATCGGTCTCTTTACCCATGGCGGCACCTACGGCATCACGACACGTACTAAGGACAACCTTGCCATGACCCGCTACCTCAACCAGTTCGGCCGATATCATCTACCGCCCGGAGAAACTTGGACCTCTGTGACTGTTGCCTACAACACTGCCACTGCCGTGCACCACGACTACCACAACTTGCAGGGATCTTTGAATCACGTTCTGTCCCTCGGCCAGACGAAAGGGGGAGGCTTATGGGTCGAGGACAAGGATGCCACCGAGGACACCGCGAACGATAAGGGCACTCAATGGCGCAGGGACAAGTGTGGACGCTGGACACCCGGGCGGGTGATCGACACCAAGAACAAGTTCTACTCCTTCGACCCCTTCACCAAGCACGCCACCGAGACCTGGGAGGGCGAACGATGGTCCCTGGTCTACCACTCTACCAGGAACTTTGTCAAGATCAACGACGACCTTCACGGCTACTTGAAGAAGTGCGGGTTTCCGCTGCCCCGAAGGCAGAGGCAGGGGAGCCTACAGAAGCCCAAGGCTAAGAAGCCCAGTCTTTCAATGCGAAAGAACATCTTCAACAATGCGGCAAAGATCAGCGTGATGATGACCACCCTCCTTGCCGCGGCCTCGAGCTTCCTCGCCGCGGGTGTCGAAGCAGAGAGTATAGCTCAGCCGGTGGTGATGTTTGAAATTGGGGACACAAGGGCATCCGAGGAGGCAGTTGCTCTTGGAAAGGACGTGTTCGAGCCCATGGACTGGAAGGCCTACGAGTCCCCGCAGGGCAAAGAGATGGCCTACCACGTGATCAATGGCGGGACCCCTAAGGAGCTACACCTAAACCTGGATGGGAAAAGGAGTGGTTGCGATGCCGCCGTTGGTGAACTCGCGGCGCAACAGATCCAAGAAGGGGGCACCGTCGTCGTCGAGGGGAGCAACGCCGACTCCCTCTTCAACAATGAGTTCTTCGTCGATGTCCTGGACAAGTTCACCCGTTACTCCGACGAGAAGGACGGAAGGAGGACGGTGGTGCTGTACCGCCAGAGGAACGGCGACCGCCCTATCAGTGGTCCCGACAGAGTGCATCAGGTCTGTACCGTTGGCGTCGAAGTTTCCCAAGGCGACCAGCATCGTGAAGTCGCCATGGACGGCACCGGGATCACCTTTGGAGAAAGTACGCCGCCCATGGTGGCGTCAGCCCTCAGAAGACTGCATCAGAACTTGGGCCACCCACAAACAGGAGACCTGATACGACATCTTAGGCTCGCAGGATGTGATGGCCCTGTTCTCAAGGCGGCGCGCAGCCTTAAATGTCAAGTATGCGATGCCAATGTGGGTCCTAAGATTGCTCGCCCGAGTGTGATCCCACAACTTTGCGACTGGAACGACACCGTTGGCATCGACCTCTTCTACGCCCATGACTCGAACGATGTGAAGCACACCTTCCTCTCGGCTGTGGACTACGGCACAACCTACCACCTTGCTGTCAGGGTGGACGGGCAGTCGGCGGACGACATTGAGGCGAAGTTCAATGAGATGTGGATAATTCCCTTCGGCCCTCCCAAGAGCGTTGTCGTCGATCTGGACGGTGGGGTGCAAGGGGCTCTCGGAAGGCTGTGCGATTGGCACAACATTGCCATGAAGAGCATCGCAGCCCAGAGTCACTGGCAAGCTGGGATGATCGAGAGGCAGCAAGCCTGGTGGAAAAACATCTGGGAGAGAGTGACCTACCAACTCACCGTGAGCGACGACGAGGTGGACCTCGCCGTTCCTATTGTCAACAGTGCAAAGAATGACCTGAGGCGCCGCTGTGGACACAGTCCTTCGCAATGGGTTTTCGGAAGGGCACCCCGTCTTCCCGAAGATCTACAAGACCCGGACGGCGGCGAAAAGGTCACGTGGGACGGCAGCGACGACTCCAGGTTCCAGAGACAGTCAGCGATGCGAGCGGCGGCCAGAGTCGCCTTTCACCGCAGCCAGATCGACAGCCGGTTGCGGAAAGCCTTTCTTCAGAGGACTAGGACCACGCCGAGACCCCACGAAATCGGCGAAAGTGTGCACTTCTGGCATAAGCCCAAGAACCGGAGGAGAGGAAGCTGGACCGGACCCGCAGTCATTGTCGGCAAGGAGGGCAACAA